GGCAAAGGTGTGTAGTCACCAATGGGGAGCAATATAGGGGAAGGGATGAGCTAGAGGGGGCAAGCTTTCCACCAAGTCTTTCTGACAGGAATCTTCTCAGGGAGGAGTGAGGGAGGGATTGGATGGAGAGGATCAAATTAATCCATGTTGGTAAAAGTATTTTAAAGTAGTTCTAGAAAGGTTGAGGGACAGATTTGAACAATGGGAATTAAAGTTATAGCTAACTATAGGGTTTGGCCCATGCTGGATTTTCCTTCTCGTTTGAGTTAAAGAAGAGTTGAAGAATATGGCAGGATGTTAGCCTGAATAGCTTGTTAACATCCAATCAAGACACTTTTGTCGGGGCTTAACTCACTGGAAACCAACCGGGGAGCTTTCTGAGACAATCAAGGTAGAAAACAAGTTCTATAAGCCAGGATTTTGATGTCTAAACTAAGATTGCTTGAGGGTGGGGTTGAAGGAATTCCACTTGGGCCCAGGTTATTTCCTCCCTCATTCCCTATTCCTTTGCTTCTGGTGGGAAACTTAGGAGCAAGTCAGTGGGTACTTACCAATCAGCCATGCCCCACCCCGTTTAGAATCACCATTTCATTTGAATCTCATGTTCACAGCATTGGTGTTGTGTTCTATAGTGTACCATTGGAAAAAAAATCAGAATTCTAAGTGAACTTTACATTTGAAAGAAGTGAAAGTTCAATGTGTACCCATGATCTCTACTTGTCATTGATAACAACAATAAGAAGCCCATGTTGGGCTGGTTTGGGTGGTTGTGATTCTTACTACTCTCTCCACTTCCCAAGCAGGGATTCCTGAATGGCACTAGCAAAGAGTGGGTGCTTGTCTTCCCCACTTTCCTCCTTCTCCCTCCTGGAACCTTGTTCCAGCTCAGACAAGGCACTCAAGTCTATTTGCTCATCGTTAAAAATGGAGCTGATACTCCATGCCTTTTCTGTCTCACAAGAGTACTTGGGGAAACAAAGGAGGCAATGTCTGTGACAGTCTTTGATAACCATAAAGTGCTCTCCGGAGGTTGGTGTGCATCCTCATCCTTCAGGTGGAGGCAAGAATGAGGGCACAGAGTCCCAGTGTGGTCTCGCATGGTCTGGCGTGGCCTGGCATCCATTCCCTCCAACACACCGAGTGGGGAAAGACCAGGTAGAAAAATAAGGAACCCTGTACTGTGCTAAGTGCATCATTCATATTGTCGCTCTTCATTTGTGGAGTGGGATTTGGAGGTAGACACTTTTATTATGTTCATTTTACAGTGAGGAAACTGAGGCTTAGGGAGGGTAAAGGACTTGTGTGAGACCACTCAGTGGTTCTGAGTGCCAGCATTAGGACATGAAGCAAGTCTGCCTGCCTCCATAGCCCCAATTGGTCTGTGTGCCTTGCAGGCTCCGAATGAGTGGCTTCTGTCTGCATCTCAGAAGACACTGGGGGAGGGGGTGGTTGGGCAGGAAACGTTGCAGCCCTGAGTAGCTGTGGCAAAAGGTGGGGATCTCAGGCTGGTGTCCCCCTCCCCTTCTACTGAGACACTCAGGCAGGCGGCCCCATCCCACACAAAGGTGACTGACACTCAGCCACACACTCTGATGCTTCTGTCTGGTTGTTCTGCCAGGCAGTGTGTCTGCTGAAATGTTCTCTTGGAGAGGGTTTTGTCCCTCCCTAGGGCCTCCCTTTCTCCCTCCTGCCTTTCTTTCTCTCCCAGTCACCACCACCTGCTGCAGTTGCCCCCATGGCATGGGGCTTTGTAGTGGGAAGCAAGGCAGTGGGAGGGAGTTGGGGGGAACACTCCTGAAACACTAAAGCAGGGTATTGGCCAAGAGCTTCTTCCCACAGGGGCTCAGAGCCAGGAGGGAAACAGGAGAGGGGGAGGGGTCCCCCTACTTGTTCTTGCTCCTCCCCCTCTCAGGCAGTCTCCCTCCCTGTTTTCTGGCAGCTCTGGTCCCCAGAAGGAGAGTCACCCTTTAGCTTCTGGCTTAATTTAGCAAAAACCTGGACACTTTACCCAGCATCCTCCAGTTCTGCCATTGTATGCTTCAACCTCTTGGTGATAAAATAGCATTATGTCCTCATAGCTGCTAGGAATTGTACCTCTGCCCTTTTGGGATGGAGACTGATTGTGACTTTTCATGATCTTGGGATTTACCAGAGTAAACAAATGCCTTGAACCCTCATCTTTTCTGTGCTATGGCTCCTTTTCTGACTTCATGTCTTTCTAGATAACTTTTTTGGTTACCCAGGGCTCTGCACATACCTGGCTTGAATCAAGTTAACACATATTTGTTGTGATAATGTGCCCAGCCCTGAGTCCAGTGCTATAAGAAACAGAAGAGAAGGTGACAGTGTGAATTGTGCCCCAAAGGAGCTTAAGAACTAGCAAGGGAGTTGGGTGTGGAAGCTAAAGCAGAAGGATCACTTGAGCCTAGGAATTAGAGGTCAGCCTAGGCAACATAGTAAGATGTGGCCTCAAAAGCTAAAACAAAACAAAAAAACCTAGCAGGGGAGGCAAGACTTAGCCATGAAACATGAGAATGAAGTAAGAAAGGGAGACATCACGCTCGGATTATGTGATTTGGAGTGAGTGTTCTCGATGTACAGAAGGAGGGCAGTGGGATGATAGTGTAGAAGATACAAGAGTTAAGTGAGGTGTGGATGCGAGGGATTGGGGTAAGTATATATATTACCCCTATTACAGTATAACAAATCACTCTAAAAATAATGCTTAACATAATAAGTATATTTTGTCTCACACAATTTCTGGACCTCAGAAATTCAGGAGCAAGTAGCTTAAGTGGGCCTAGCATGGAGTCTCTCATGAGGTTGCATTCAAGGTGTCAGGCAGGGCTACATTCACTTGGAGGCTAGACTGGGACTGGAAGATTTGCTTCAAGTGTAGTTCACTCATGGCTGGCAGGTTAGAGCTGGCAGTTAGTAGGAGGCCTCCTTCCCTTGCCCTGTGGCTCACCCCAAAGAACTGCTTGAGCGTCCTCATGATGTGGGGTACTGGCTTTCCCTACTTGAGAGTGAGTGATCCAAAAGAGAACAAGGCAGAAACCACAGCATCTTTTGGACCTGACCTTGGAAGTCACACACCATCTTTTCTGCAGTCTCCTATTGGTTACACAGGTCAGTCCTATCCAGGGTAGGAAGGGGCTACACAAGAGCATAAATACCAGGTGATGGGATCCTCAGGGCCCATCTTGGAGACTGACAACCACAATCTGCCCTCTGGCCTCCAGTGACTCATATCCCTCCCACATGCAAAGTAGATTTACCCCTCCCAAGGCCCCTCAAGGTCTCATCAATTTATGGCATCAGCTCCTTGTTTAGAATCCTGTCATCTGGGCTGGCGGAGTGGTTCAAGCAGTAAGAGCGCCTGCCTGGCAAGTGTGAGGCCCTGAGTTCCAACTCCAGTGCTGCCAAAAACTAAAGAATCTTGTTATTTAACTTAGGTCCCAGTGCAGATGAGGCTCCTTCTGCCTGGTTTGGTGAGTCCAACTCCTTGAGCGCAGTTCCTTCCCATCCATACTCCTGAATTAAAGACACAAGTTGCCCATCTCAAAGACCCACTATGCCATTGTAGAATAGGCATGGGAACATTCCAGTTCAAAGGGGGGAGAAAGGGAGGTACCCAGGAGTCATTCACGAGGTCAGGACTCTCCTAACATTTTGTGCTTCCCTTTGTTGTAGTTTAGTGCCTCTATGACCCTGCATGGGAGAAAGTGAGCCTTGTCTTGTCATTAGTGGATGGCAGAGGCAGGTTTTCAATATAGCCCAGTCTGGTTCCCAACACTCCAAGTGGGCTTGAACATGATCTGAGGACATGGTGTAGTAAAAGATGGGAAAAAGCCTATGAGGTTGAGTGTGGATGGAGGTTGGATTTTTTTCTTTTTAGTAGTACTGGAGTTTGAACTCAGGGCCTTGTGCTAGGCACACACTCTACCACTTGAGCCACACCTCCAGTCCTGGAAGTTTTTGCAATGAGAGAACTGTGACTGTAGTCACATTGCTATATCTGCTCTTCTTTGTCCTCATTACTTAGAGATATGGCTTATCCAGATCTCAGTGAGTAGGGATTGAGGCAGGTAGAGAAGGAATGCAGAGTGCTTGGGAGAAGCTGGGATGTGCCCCCTCTATCCCAGAGTTCCAATCCATTCGTCATTGGTTTACAGGGCTGAGGATCTGCTGTCCCCCAGTGGGATGGAAATGCATGGGAAACTGTGCTGGTCTTGGACATACCTCATATGGCTAGTGACTGGCCCAGCCTCTAGCCTCAAAGCTGAGAGTGATCCAGATCACTTGAGGTACTGTCAACAAAGCACAATATGAGCGCAAATGAAGTGAGATGGTCTTGGAAGCCAAGTGACATGGCCATGATGAATGGGATATGGTGCCTAGCCTGACCCAGGACCACATCTCTGCTTCCCAGGGCAAAGGTCGTTGGAGCCAGCAGAAAACACGATCTCCCAAATCTCCCACCCCAGCGAAGCCCACAGAACCATGTACACCCTCTAAATCCCGAAGTCTTGGCCCAGAGGAGGCCTCGGAGTCACCTACAGCCCGGCAGATCCCTCCAGAGGCACGGCGGCTAATAGTGAACAAAAATGCTGGTGAGACCCTCCTACAGCGAGCAGCTCGTCTAGGCTATAAGGTGAGTCCTGTCCCATCCCATCCGTCCATCCCCTTCTCCCCCCAAACAGCAGGATGGCATTGGCCTAGGCTTCTGCAGAGAAGCTGCCTGCCATTGGTGCTTCTGGGGCTTGAGTCCAACTGTCTCCCTGTACTGCCCATATTGCTGATGGGGCTGCCTTGCCCCTTGTCTGATCTCAGTGTGTGGGAATGCAAGCTCATTTGAATGTGAAGTTGGGATAAATGCAATTGAAATGGTAACACAATATCATCTCCTACATTCCTAGGCTAGGAAAGGGATTTCTGGATTTTCACTTTGTCTTGAATTTCCCTGTGTGGTGGCTCCCCCACTCAGAGAGGAGCAAGAGGCCAAGAGGCAATTATTACTCACACTTCATCTCCTCCAGCTTCTTCTGCTTCAGGTGGAGGGGTCAGGGGCATGTTCAAGGGACAAAGCCGAGCTAACCCTACTTCGTATTACCTCCCTAGACTTGGGAAAGAAGGCAGGAAAGGGAGCTGGCATTTATTAAGCACCTCTTTTATCATGTTAAGAACTTTGAGTAGGGGCTGGTAGAGTGGCTTAAGTGGTAGAGCGCCCGCCTAGCAAGTGTGAGGTCCTGAGTTCAAACCCCAGTGCCACCAAAAAAAAAAAGAACTTTGACTATAGTAAGCCCGTGAAGGTAGATTTTATTATCCCCATTTTACATGTGAGAAAATCAGGGCCTAGCAATGTTAAGTGATGTGTCCAACCAAGATCGCTGAATACTACCAATATATGTGTCTGAATTGAAACCAAGGTCTTCTGATTCTCAAGTGCCAGGGTAGAAGTGGAAGAGTACGTCATTCACCATGATGAAATTACATTGGCACACATTTCTATCGTTTCCCACTTTTTGCTGATATGAACTCCCTTCACCATGTATCTTTGCTGATGATTTTTCTTCAGATGAGATCAGGCATGTTCAGTGTGGTATGGCCGTAGACTGATGATTTCTTCAGAATTTGCTCCTAGTGTGGGTTACAAAATATGCCTTCTTTTCAAGACCTTCTAGAAGTGTTTCAAGCCTGCCGCTCTTAGTCAAGGCGCAGGAGAGCTGACTTGATGTGTCTTCCCTGTCAAGCACTGCATCTTTCTTTAGCACCTAGTGTGGATGCCTGCATGATGGCCAAGGGATACCCGAAGAGAAAATGATGACTAATCGCTGCCCTCAAGGTTACCTTTCTTATACCAGGGGTCAAACCATCAAAAAAGGTAGCCATTAGAGAAACAAAAGAGGATGGGGCTGGAGCCTGTTGGGTGGGTGGAGAAAATGGTTCAGATGTCTCCATTGGTGAAGAGGGTAAGAGGCTTTGTGTTCTCTCCAAGGCAAAGGCAGCAGGCCAGTTTCTGTATACAGGCTTGGAAGCACCTTCAACCCAGGCACATAGTTGCTCTAGCTAGTCAGCCTGTGAGCTGTGTGGCAGAAGAGCTGAGTGTTGCTGCTCCCCAGAGAGGGCCGATGGCAGTGCCCTGTGGGTACCTTGTTCTGAAAGCCAGGCAGCCAAAGGACACTGCCAGTTCCCCATCCCAGCTTATTCACAGCATCATCCCATACTAAAACTAGGGTGCTTTATGTCACCTGAGTTCCATCTTGGGTCCTATCAACTCAGCCCAAGGAAGGTAAGTATTAAAGTGTGGACGAGTGACAGAATTTGATTGCCCTTGGAACAATTCTGACTTGAGGGGAGAGCTGGAACTGACTACTCTGATATGAACACTGTTCCTGCTGAGTCCAGCATCCAGGGATGGTACTTAAAACAATTCATTCTTCCTTATTCTTGAATTACTGTTAGCAGCTGAACTCACCTCCCCATGTCTCATTTCCCTGCTCTGGGCTGGCTCACAAAAGTCAGGGAGGCGAGGTCTGGGCATGTGAGTTCTGGGTGGACAGGGATACCTCTCTGAGGACCTCACCTCAATGACCACCACCCTGATGAGCGTTCTTAGCCATAAGATATGTCTCCCCACTGCCATGGGAATGGCTCACAGTGGGGCCTGGGCAAGAGGCTCAGAACTGACTTTGTTGGTGAAAGTGTTTTTTTGGTTGTTTTGGTTTGGTTTGTGGTACCGGTGATTCAACCCAGGGCTTCACACATGCTAGGCAAATGCTCTACCACTTGAGCCACAGCCACAGCCCTTGACAAAGGATTTTTGTCCCCCATATAAAGGGTAGGCTCTGAGAATCCTCAGACATTTGGGGGAGCTTTAGAGTCTAACTGAGATGATTCCAAGAATTAGAACTGTCTTTACTTATGGAACTATCCACATCCCCACAGGACGTTGTTCTCTACTGCCTCCAGAAGGACAGCGAGGATGTGAATCACCGCGATAATGCTGGCTATACAGCCCTGCATGAGGCCTGTTCCCGTGGCTGGACCGACATCCTGAACATCCTGCTGGAGCATGGGGCCAATGTGAACTGCAGTGCACAGGATGGCACGAGGCAAGAAGGCGCCTCCTCCCCAAGCACCACCCCCAGCCCCTTACTCTAGAGATCTTGCTGTGGCCTGGACCTTGCAGCATGGCGAGATGCGAGTTGCAGAGAGGCCTTGCCAGGAATTCTTCTGGAAAGACTTCTGTGGATTGAACAGGGAACCAGATAGGGCAGGAGTGTAAGAGTTGTGGATGGGCAGTCCATACTGGCTCCTAGAGGGAGGCTGAAGTTGTCCAGGGCTCATGCCATCCTCTGCAGCTGTTACCAGGAAGCCTGCTTACCCTTCTTTCACATCATCCCAGTGGGGCACTTGTCTCAGGCAGAATCTGGGGTCTTAGGAACTAAGCCAGAGGCCAATCTTGGGGTTACATTCCAGATTTTATTTTTCTAATTTGATTTCTATGTACTTTAAAAAAATATACCTGCTATGTCTTAGAGACATTGTACCCATTCTGCTCTGTTCTACCAGAGGACCTACTTCCTGGGCAAAATAGACCTGAGCTGCATATCAAGTAGGGGGACCCAAACAAAAAGGTATAGGCTCCATTTGGTCACAGCCTGGTGTGGAGCCACTCTGCCTGTCCCTACCCTTGAACAGTCATGTGGCCCTTCAGTTCTTCTTCCCTGCGTCTGCGTTAACTTTACGCCTTCATTACAGACCCATTCTCTGCTTGAACTCCAGAACTTCCAGTGGAGCCACACTGTGCCCTAGGGACTGTCCCAAGATGCAGGGGAAGATAAGATAGAAAGAGAGAGTAAGGGAGAGAGGAGAAAGAGGTGGGTAGATGGGATAGGGGATTGCAGGCCAGAGGTGGCTGCCCTGCTCTAAGTCTTAGCACATATTATGCTGGAGTTACCCTGGGGTCCTCTCACTTTTTCCCCTGATGTGATAGCCTAAAGCCCAAATATCCCAGTTCCCATTTGAGTCCTATTGTCCTTACCCTATATCACCTCTACAGGCCAGTTCATGATGCTGTGGTCAATGACAACCTGGAGACCATCTGGCTCCTGCTGTCCTATGGGGCTGATCCCACACTGGCTACCTACTCGGGTCAGACAGCCATGAAGCTAGCCAGCAGTGACACCATGAAGCGCTTTCTCAGAGGTAAGTGTGGGTTAGACTTGTAGCTGGCATCCTAGGGGCTCGCCTCAGGCTCCTGACCCTGTCAGGGGACCCTCTTCATCTCTTCTGTTCCATGCAGACAGCTTCCATGAGGCGTGTCTTCCCTCTTCACATGCTTCCTGCAGTGTCTCAGGAACCCCTCACTACTTCAACAAGCCTCTGGTCTTGAGTGTCCACATTGTAGCCTCTTCAAGGACTCCTGTAGCCCACAGGGACCCATTTCATCTTTAGGTGTTGGTACCTGGGGTACACCTCCTTATGGGGCAATAACCTCACTCAGAGATCCAGTTGGGGGCAAAATGTGTTGACCTGTGCTATGAAGGGGATGTCAGTGGCAAGGAAGTGATGCTCATTTTCATCATTTGTTTTTATAATTTCTCCCTATTTGTGATCAAAGTGGAACCCTGGGATACTTCCTGAAGCTTTAGTCCTCACAGCCCTTCCCCGTGATAAGTGTGATCATCCCTCTGCATCCCACTGTCCTGCTTCTCTCCATTCCTGTTTTCCCTTCCCTCACCTACCCCTTCTGATAAAGTATCTGGTGTTCAGGCCCATGGCAAGGGCCACAAACCACTGTGCACTTATTTTTCATGAGCAAGTAGCACTGTTTGTCTATAGGTAGATAGCACTGATTGAGTTGGGCAGGGGAAGGAGAGAAGGAGGGAGTCCAGCTTGGACATGGAGCAGTGGGAGTCTCTGTTCGGACTTGGCCATGGACTATTGGAACCCTACTTCTTGGTAACATCACAGCTTGACCCTTGTGCTTACTTCTTAAGATTGCCCAAGTGATGGAGCATCTGGGAGTGGTATCTCTGAACCCCTTCAGAGGCTTCAGTGTGTTTGCAGTAGAGCTTCTCTTGAACAAGGAGTCAGCTCTCTCCTCTCACCTGGGCTTTGGTTCTGGTTATGTCTGAACCCCACCTGCCAGAGATACAATTCCTAGCTCCCAACCAGTGGCTCATTTGTTTATTGACCAAAGGTCAATAGACTGGGCCACTGATGGTGGAGGAAGAAAGAGAGGGACTTAAACTAAAGGTTCCAACAGAAGAGGAGCAGGTGGGGAGCACTGCCTTCATCCTGAAGGGAGAGGAAGGAGTGATGGGGAGGTTTTGGCTTTTGCTCACCCCCCAGTCATGTCCCAGTCAACCTGATTGAACACTGGAATGTAGGCTTCAGGCTGGGGAGCAAGAGAGCTGCCTTTTCCATTTTTCCTTCTTCCAGTTCTGGGTCCCCAGGGCCTTGTCCTTGAAGGACAGAGAAGCTTTGTGTTGTTCATTTATCCTGGGCCAGTGATGAGGGTTGCTTCCTTTGTCTGAGCCATCACCAGGGGCATACTCTTTGTGGCCTCTTCCCACATACCAGCACTTGTATACTCTCTCTTAGACACATACAAGACACATGCAAGGCTTATCTGCACTCCACTCCACTCCACTGGATCCTCAGGAAAATGTGGCACTGATGAGGATCTCAATATGATAAAGGCTCTATATGAAGCTCTGTCTTTCTAAACTGTTCTAATCCAGGGACCTCTGTAGGCTTGAAACTGTCCTTCAGAAGGTGTTAGGAACACCTGGGTCCAAGTAAAGCAATCTCTGACTACCTTAGTGGTCCCAGACCCTCCTCTAAAACTCCAAAGGAGTTTGAATGTTGAAACCATTTTTCAAGTAGTTAAAAAATTAGAAATAAGCACCCTTCCTCCCTTATTTCTGTCAACATATCCCAACTCCTGGCCAGCCTTTTGGCACCTTCTTAGCTAACTTGAATGCCAGTCATGTTGCAGAATACAGAGAAGACTTCTGGATGCTAGCACTTTCCAGGCAGAGCACCTTCATTCAGGTCTCGTCACTGTTTCTCAGTTCCTCGGCTCCTGACTAATGGGGGTCAGGAGCTGATAGTTTTATAGACTGGGCCACGTCTTCTCCATGCAAAGGCAGGTTTTGTCTGGCTGTTAGGGAAAGATGTAGCAATCCAGGCTACGACCTTGGCCTGACCACCTCCTGCCCCCAATGGAGGTAGGCACTGGCAGGAGCAGCACACACCCAGGAAGGGGAATTTGGGTGAGGGAGAGAGAGCAACACTAAGGGGCTTTTAAAAAAAAAATGAAGTGAAAGTGAAATTCACCTAATGTGACCATTTTAAAGTAAATAATTCAGTGACATTGAGTACATTTATGGTGTTGTGCATCTATCATCAGGGGTTCTTTCATTGCCTAGAGCCATGTCCGCTCTCCTTTTTCATCGCTGGGTCCATCCCCACCAATTCTCCATGTACCACTGGGTAGGTGGGATAGTGGCTATAGGGAGCCCAGGAGGCAGAAAGGTAGGGAAGCCTCCTGTCTGTTGCCATCCCCCACACCTAGGTACATCTGTCTAGACTTTGGATTTTTTTTCACCTTGCCTATCTGGCTGAGGTATTTTAAAAGTGTTTTGCTTTTCATTCCCAAGCATTTGCTTGACCACACCATCTGTGGAGGTCTTATCGGGCAGAAAATAAAGGCAAATCCCTATGTAGGGTGCAAAGAGTCCATTTTCTGCAGGCAGACAAGGTAAGCCTGAGCATCAGGGTTGTGCCTGGTATACAGCTTTCCGCAAGGCCTGGAAAGTTTGTTTGGAACTCAAATTCTCTTCTAAGTACACAAAGGAATGCTTGTAGGTATCCTGTAGTGAATCCTGTTGTAAAGCAGAAGATGCTAGTGATTGATCTGGGTTATAACTGTGGATTTTCTTATGTTGAATTGACTTCGGGTGAGGCCTTCTCCTGAGATGGTGAAGGGTAGAGTGGCACTACTTCATTTGTTTGTCTGTTCATTTACTGAGCACCTATTAGATTTTGAGTTCTGTTCTGGATACTAGAGGCCAGACAATAAATCCTTTCTGCCTGCCTCGTTTTTGGTTTTGGAGCACCAAACTGTCTGAACCCCCAGGAGGCATTTGGAAGGCTTTCCCCTTGGGCCAAATTACACACAGACCTGTGACAGATTTATCTTTGACCCTTTCAAGGAAAGAGCACCATCTAGACTAGCCCAAAGAAAACAGTCATTTTTCCTTAGTGGAAGGAACATGGAGGTTGAAGGGAGTTGCCACAGTTTGGATTGGGGCATCAGAGGAAGAGTTGGGATGGCTCTTCCTTCCAGTGATGAAAGGGTTAGCAAGTTACTACTTGGGGTCACTGAATCACAGATTTTTGTTTCTCCTTCGAAAGACCTCTGCCATGTAAGTAACCCCATGTCAAAGACCACTTGCTTTTTGGTTTTATTCTCCTTTCATGTCCCTTGGCTGGTGACTTAGCTGGAGGAGGTGGGGAGAGGGACCCTGGAAATTAGAGAAACTCTGCTGGCTGCCACTTACAATGACGCACCAAGGGTGCTTTTAAAAAATATATTGAGGTAAGATTCATGTAACATAAAATCAATGATTTAAAAAGTGAACAGTTCAGTGGCATTTAGTTCATTTTGCTCCATTGCCCACCAACTTTATGTTAGTTCAAAATTGCATCGATCTCAAATGAAACACGTCTCATACACAGTTTCTCGCCCTTTCTTTTTCTCCTTGCTCTCGACAGCACCAGTCTGCATTTTATCTCTATGGATTTACCCATTCTAGACGATTCATATAAATAGACTCCTACAGTGGAGGGTTTTTTATCTGGCTTCCATGTAGTGTACTGATTTCAAGGTTAGTGTGTTTTAGTACTTCATTCCTTTTTGTTGCTGAATAATATTCTGTTGTGTAACCCCTTTTGTGTATCTGTTTATTGATAGATGGACTGTGTTCCTTCTTTTGGTTATTGTCAATAGTGCATCTAGGAGCATACATGTACAATTATTTGTTTGGTTACTTGTTGTCATATTCTGTGTAGTGTATACCTAGGAAGGAATGGTTGGGTCTAGGGCACTTTTTCACAGAAAGGATGAAAGTAAAGGACTGAAAGTTGTGGTTGGGCTGGTGGTAAGGAGAGTCAAGGAAAAAGGAGGTCACTTTTCATCATGATTTTACTGCGCCTGTGAGGAAATCTTGTTAAGCTGCACAAATCCAGGCAGGATGCTGGACTTTCCCTGTGCAGTCATGGGCCTTTTAACTTTAGCATCTTTTTTGCTCCATGCAGTATCACTTTGGGTATCTAGAAGGCAGTTCAACTGCATATGACAAAGATTTGCAGACAGTGGAGAGAATTAGAGGAATGTGCCAGGGGCTCTGAAGGCAGTTTCTAGAGAGGAGCCCCAGGAATGCAGTGAGCTGAGCTGCTGTGATGGAATCCTTGTGTGACCTCTTGTGGGGGGAAGGGGCAGCCAGCATTTGCGTACATATGTTTTGGCATACTGCTTGCGCATACACTTCATAGTCTTACCTGGTGGTAATTCTCTCTTTTCCACCCTCTTTCCCTTCCTGCCTTCTTCCCCCATATAATTATTAAGCTCCTATGTGCCAGGCACTGGGCATACAGGAGATACAACAGTGAATAGGATAGACTGATCCTTGCCTTTTTAGAATTATGTTCTATTCTTTTTATCTGCTCCTGCATAAGCACCAGGGGCTAAGGACTAGAGAGACAGACAACCTACCTGAGAGATGCTTCAGTAGCAGTTGGAAGAAACTACTTCCAACTCTGAAGTGGCACAGGTTTGCAGAAGAGCACAGAAGATGGTAGTGTGATCTCAGAGGTTTTTCACGGAACACACAAAAGCTCTAATGTCCATGCCTAAAGGTTTCTTTTTTTTTTTTTTTGCCTTTTCATTTTTGGTACTGGGATCAAACCCAGGGCCTTGTGCCTGCTAGGCAAGCACTCTACCACTGAGTTATATTCCAGCCCAAAGTTTTCTCATTCTAGTTGCTCAGCCATTACTTTGAAAGCTTCTCCTTGACTGCCTTTTCCTTCTTGGGGGAAACCCTTCATCTCTTAGAAGATGACTGAAAAGGAGTGGTTTGGGTAACTTGCAACAGATAATAGTTCTTGAAAGTAGGATGACCCAAAGAGAGAGGGTATACTGAGTGGCGGTAGTGCTTTCCATTGAAGGAAACAAGCTCCACTCCTTTTTAAAAAGGCTGCCAACTTCCTCCTGGGATTTGGTTTGCAGGTGGCACCCTCAACTCACCTGTGCCCTTTGGACTCTCTCTTGTCCTGTTGCCCAGGTGTTACTTGAGGGCTGGTGGCAACCACACATAGCTTAGTCAGCCTATCAATTGTACTAGGTGGCATATTGGCAACTGCTGGGGCATGTGCCCACAGATGGCACAGTTGAATTTGTTATGAAAGCAAGTGGGCCTGCTTGTTCAGGTGGGACTAGGAGGTAGAGCAACTCTACTAGGTGATACCTAGCCAGGAAATAAGAAGGCCAACAGTGACCCAAAGTCTGGCCTTAGATCCAGAAAGAAAAAGGTGGCTTTTAAAATTGTTTTATTTTTACTGTGATAAAATACGCGTAACATAAAATTTGTGATTTTATCTACTTTATACAAATGAATAAGTACATTTGCAATGTTGTAGCACCATTACCACTATCTAGCTTCAGAACTTTTTCATCATTCCAAACAGAAGCCCCATCCCCATTAGCAATCACTGCCCATTCCTCCAGTCTTCCTCCAGTCCCTCAAAACCACCTATCTGCTTTTTACCTCTGGATTTGCCTAATCTGGACATTTCATATAAATGGAATCACACATTATGTGGGTTTTTTTGTGGCCGCTTCCTTCACCGAGCATCACATTTTCAGTGTTCATCCATGTTGTGACATATTACTATTCTGTTCCTTTATGTGTCCATCTGCTTCTTTCACTTAGCATCCATGTTGTATACCATGTATCAGTATGTCATTCCTTTTTTATGGTTGAATAATATTCCACTGTATGGACATACCCCATTTGTTTATCCATTGATTCCTTGATGGGTATTTGGGCTATTTCCAGCTTTCGACTATCATGAATAGAGCTATTATGTGAACCTTCCTATATAAAGTTTTTGTTTGAACACTTGTCTTCAGTTCTTTTGGGCATACACCTGTGAGTGGAAGCAAAAGGGGTTTTTGTTTGTTTTTTTGTTTTTGTTTTTTGTTTGTTTTGGAGACAAAGTCTTGCTCTTTATCCCAGGCTGGCCTTAAACTTGCACCACCATGCCTGGCTTTATTTTTTATTTTATTTTATTTGGAGTTGGGGATTGAACCCAGAACCTTGCACATGCTAAGCATGCATTCTACCACTGAGCAACACCCCCAGCTACATATCTAACTTTAAAGTGGAGAGGTCATGACTGGGTATATTAACATTGGGACAAGCAGGGAATAAAACCCTGGTATGGGTCCAGGATTCTTTTTGCAGAGGAATTCCCTACGCCATTTGAAGCAGGGGTCTCAAAACAACATGCCTTCAGGCTGATATATAAAAGAGGGAAGAGGCTGGGTGGGAACTGGGGCCCACACATGTCATAGCTCCTTCCAACCAACTGTTGACATGCAGGAATGCAGAGGCAGTTTTGCCAGATCTTCTGATTTTTTTTTTCACAAAAAATTGGAAATCTGGATTTTAAAGTGAAATCTCAGTTTTAAAATGTTGAAGGTTAAATTTTTTCTTTGATTAAACTCTAGGCCAATCCTAGGCAGTCAGTGGGCTAGGCTGGGCTCCTGACTGCTGGCTTGCATTCTCTGACTGGGAGCAGGAAACAGATTCCTCTCTGGTCACTTTTGGCCCCTTCTTTCCTTCCCTCCTCCCATTCTCCCAGCCCCATATACATGGGCATTCCTCAAGATTCCATATCCAGCCTAACCCCTTGTTTTACCACCTTCTCTTCTTTCATCAGATCACCTCTCGGATCTTCAGGGCCGTGCTGAGGGTGATCCTGGTGTGTCCTGGGATTTTTACAGCAGTTCTGTGTTGGGTAAGCTCTAAGTGGAAAGAATCCCATCCTTTACTGTGGTTCAAGGACAGGGGATTTGGTTTGGGTTTTACCAGTTCTTCTAAAAGGTAGGCCTCACCCTGTGGCAGTAGCCCTTCCTCCCCTGTCAGTGGCTTACAGGCACTTTCAGTTCAAGCCCTAACCTTCCTTCTTCATACCCAGATGTCACTTGCCTTAATCCAGAGATGCCTCACTAATTTGGACAAAGTCATCCCTCCTTAGTCTTCTACCACTCCCCACTATGGGTATTTTGTAAACTCTCTCTTCCAAGGTTCCCTTCTTCTTCCTTGCTTTGTTTTAACTCCTCCAGAAGCCCTGATGAGCATTGGTACCACTTCTGGTATTGCTCACACTCAAGAGGGAATCAACCCCTCATCTGGCAGTTTTCATTCCCTCACTTCCCTGCTCCCATGATGTACATCTAGTTTTTGAGATAGCTGCTATCTCCTGAGCCCTTAGTCCTCTGGCCCAGGCTTTCCTTTCTTGGAAGATCACTACACCTTTGTGGTGGTGGTCAAGGGCTAAAGATTAAGGGACCTTTCCAACCCTAAGCTTGGAGGAAGCTGGGGCAGGAGAAGGTTGGGATGCAACAGGCCTACACCCAGCCACATGGCTGGGGAAGGGAACCATCTGAATCCATGGACTTCAGAATCAGGCAGTGAGGCAGCTTGGGAAAGCTGTAGCCAGAGAAGGGCAGTTGTTTTAACCTTGCCCTTGACTGCTGATAGTATCTTCAGGCTTCCATCTCTAACAGCTAAGCAACTCATCCTTCACATCACTTTGCTTTTTCTAATCAGAGGGTAGAGGAATATAAGGAATCTTTGGCTACAAAATAGTTCCTTCCAGGACTAGAACTTTCATATGCTCTTCCAAGCACATGAACCCATGGAATCAGCCAACCTTGGTTGTAGCCAGGGACCTGTGGCCTTGTCATTTATCTCTTAAGAAGCCCCCCTTCATGCCCTTTTATCTGGTTGGAGCATTTTTTTCCTCCATATTTGTGCATGTAGCTAAGTCCTGATCCACTGTGTACTCACTCACCTTCCAGAGAAAAAAGATGGGTTTGCCTGTGACCTCCTGCATAATCCTCCTGGGAGCTCTGAGCAAGGAGAAGATGTGGAAGAGGATGATTTCATGTTCGAACTCTCAGACAAGCCTCTTCTCCCTTGCTACAACCTTCAAGTGTCAGTGTCCCGTGGGTAAGTGTCTGAGAGATCTACAAGGAATATGTGCCAGAATCCTGGCAACCCCTGGCCTGCCTCCTGGCAAAGGTGGAGTTTTCCAGGGGAAGGACCTGGCAAATGAGTGCTGGAGCATAGGAAAGATAGCACGTGACAAGGGCTAGCCTGATCTTCTAGCCCAGATAGAACATAACTTATGCTCAAGCTAGAGGTCCATGTAACTCTAGGTCTGCACTATTTCCACCAACTGTATGCATTTCCTGAACCCCAAATCGAAATTTACTCTCTAAAGGTTTCATACAGATGTTCTGGGTGTAAGAGATAATCTGAGAGCTGTTTGGGCTGATGAACTATTAGAATCTCTGAGCATTTTTGTGGTTTCTTGGGACAGCCAGACAGAATATTTGTAATTGAGATTCTTGGAAAAATGGTCCATATGGTTGCCATAGCTATGGAGCCACTAAGGTCCTTAAGCAACCTACAGCCAGTTTCTGGAAGCCTTAATGTTGGCAAGGCAATCAGCACTGCTAGCTCAGATGACTCCATAGATGATAGTGGGAAGCACCCAGTTTTGGAGACTGACTGACACGCAGCATTAGACTGAGCCCAATGACTGCTTCATGATTCAAAAGGGAGTTTGACAGCCTTCAGGGCTGCCATTTTTGTTAGGTTTCCCTGTGTGTCAATGTGGGGAAGTGCTAGGTGGGAGAATGAGAATGCAGAATCAATTGCCCTTTTCTTCTTTGCCCCCATCATTAGGTATTTTCTAAGTACCTTTGCAAACAATGTTGAGGAGTTTTTTTCCTCCCTATTTGTTCTTTAAAATAGAGTCTATATTTAAAAGACCCTATATAGACCCTATTTTTAAAAACAACAAACTAACATGATGTGCAGAGGATAGGGAGTGAGGTGGGTGATGGATTAGGAATGCCTCAGGTGAGCCCCTCTATGTATGATGCTAATCACTAGACCCCTAGTCTTTTGTATCCCTTCCCCCACAGCCTGATAAGAATTTAAAAAATAGCCTATATGATGACACTAGTCTGGATCAAGTTTCAGGGGCTTTTGGTCCTTATTCTTCTGGGCAGAAGCTGATCCCTGAGGGTGAGGCTGGGCTTCTGGGATATAGTATTGCACAGTTAATTAATTCCTCCAAAGTATTCAGTACCTCCTTTTCTGAAACAGTATCTTGGGCCACAGGCAGTAAAAGGGCCAAGGTAGTCTGTTTTAGATGTGGACAGAACATGGCAACCAAGGGCCACGTGCCACTCTGCAAGCTGGGCAGCAGGCACATTATCAGCTAAGAGCTGGGTACTGGCAAGGCTGGCTTCTTAATATGACATCTTCCAGCACTTGTTCTGAAAACTGCCCTTCCCCACAGCTGCAGCACAATGTGAACATTTTGAGTCTTTAAGAAGTCGGGTTTTGGGTGTGGTTCAAGTGGTAGATCACCTGCCTGGCAAGCATGAGGCCCTGAGTTCAAACCCCAGTACCACCACAAAAAAACAAAAAGTAGGGTATGGTGACTCTTTAGACCCCCTGGGTTTCAGAAGCACCTTCTGAATCATTAAAGCAAGACTGGATTCTGGTCACCAGCTGGAATGTTCTGAAGGTTTCTCCCCATTCTTTGAAAGTGATGGTCCAAGTGTAGGGTATCTGTTGTCCCTTTCTGTTTACTCAGAACGCTCCATTCCCTAATGATATGACAAGACAGTTTGCCATCATGTGGAAGAACTGTTGCATTTGAGGGATAAGGATAGTTAGTCGGAGTACACATTTTATGTTTGCACGTGTAGTTTTTTTTGGCATGTTGCTGGGGATAGAACAGGGCTTCATATATGCTAGGCAAGCACTCTACCACTGAGCTACACCCCCAGCCTGGGTAGATGTCTTAAGTGTTTCATAATCATGTTTTAAGCAGCTGCACCAGGTCAAACTCTAAGGACCAGAACACAGCTCTAGCCTTCAAAGAATCCACAGTCTAATACAGGAGACAGATAAGTATATAATTAACTCCAATAAAAGACCAAATGCGCTAAGATTTATTATTATAAAAAGCTCAAATAGTTCAGAATGGTGTCAAGTGAAAAATAAAAATTTCTGTTAACCCTGAGTTCCCGTTCCTAGGCAGCCTTTCAGAAGTGGGCTCTGCTGGAAGTCTCATAATGGGTATGAACCAAGTGCCATGAGACCACAGTTACTTTGGGGGAAAGTTTCACAGGCATTATGGCACCCAAGCTGGGCCAGGAAGGAGAGAAGGATACAGGGCATGGTATGAGCAAAGGCACTGAGACATACAAGTTAGGAAGTTCAGAAAGCAAGAGTGGTCTGTCGTATTGTGTGGCTGGCATTTGGCAGGGCTGGGGGATGCAGTATGTGTTGGGGGATGGTAGGTAGATTGGGATGAAGAGTTCAAATAGGGTCATGTTTAGAAGGTCTTGCTTAATATCATGCTAAAGAATTGGAGCCAAGCATGGTGATGCAAGCGTATAATTTCAGCATTGGGGAGGCTGAGGCATGATTATCAGAGTTTCAAGCCAGGCTGGGCTACATAGTGGTACCCTTCTCAAAAAAAGGAAGGAAAGGAGGGAGGGAGGGAGGGAGGAA